CCCCCCCCCCCCCCCCCCCCCCCCCGTTGCTAATGACAGCCGAAAGAAATAGTATAGCCTAGCAGCAGAGAAGATGCAATAGATAGGATGCAGAAGATATCTTGAGGCTGACACCTAGAATACTGCATCCAGTTTTGGTCACCACACCCTAAAAAAGATGTTGAGACTCTAGAAAAAGTGTTAGAGAAGACCAGGATGATTAGGGGACTGGAGGCTAAAACGGTTACAGGATCTGGGCTTGGCTAGTCTGGTGAAGAGAAGGACCAGGGGAGACAGGATAGCAGTCTTCCAATATTTGAGGGGTTGCCACAGAGAGGAGAAGGGGTCAAGCTATTTTCGAAAGCCAGACAAGGAACAATGGATGGAAACTGAACAAGGAGAGATTTAATCTGGAAATAAGGAGAAACTTTCTGACAGTGAGAACAATCAACCCATGGAACAGAAATTGCCTTCGGAAGTTGTGGGAGCGTCATCACTTGAAACTTTCAAGAAGAGAATGGACTCCCATCTTTTAGAAATGGTGTAGGGTCTTCCACTTGGGCGGGGGGTTGGACTAGATGACCTAAGGTCCCTTCCAACCCTGAATATCTGTTATCTGTTCAATTCGCATCAGAAAACTGTTCTTCCGCGCACCCTCCTTCCACAACAGCAAAGGACCTTACACACCTGACCGGGTTCAACGTTTGTTTTCACCAGGGGCGCCGTCAGCAGGTTCTCCATGCCTGAAGGGAGGTCACCATCACCCTGGAAGAAGAGGAAAGACAGGGAGATCAGGCCAGAGGGAGGGAAAGGACATTGGGATGGACACAGCAGCCAAGGGGGACCATGTCTCTTCATTCCCACACCATCTCTTGCTTGCAACGGGCGAATAGAGTCCATCCTTTCCCGGATGTTTACCAGCACATTCAAAAATAAAAAAAAAATAAAAAATAGGCACTCCTCGACTTACAACTGTGAGAAGAGAACTAGGCCCTAAAGTTGGTGTAGGTCTCAGTTTAATTGAAGGCCTCAAATTAACAATATATAATAACGCCGGCTGAGCTGATTTCGCCAGCGTGGCAAAAATATTTGCAATCTGCTGAGTTGAATTTGCAGGAACAGCTATCTCTGTTTGCTATCTGCTACTTCTGCAAACAGCATCTATTTGCTGGAGAATCAAAAATAAGAGCTGTTTCGGATCGCGAATGTCTGGGACATTGAGAAAAAGGGGGACTGAAAGTAGCAGATGATAAGCGAGTTGGCATATACCTACAAGTCGGTATTAAGCGATGGACAGTATGAGGGAATAGGGAAGTACTTCCAGTAAGATTATATACTAGGTGGGTAGCATTGTCCTTGTGGGAATCTGGTTCTGAGGGGGAGATTGAGCAGCTGACAGGGAGTGGGAGTGTGGCTCCGGTGGCTGTGGGAGAAACAGGGGAAGGGCACAATCCGGCTGGGCATTCAGAGGAAGACCCAGGGCCACCCCCTCTTCATCCTAGGGTATGCGGAGAGGAATGGAGAAGGGAGCAACATGGCTTACGGGAGAGAAAACGGCCCTGATCCCTTTCATTAGTTGCAGCTGGGAGAACAGGATATAAAAAGGGCATTTGCACACAACACCTTGCTGGAAGCAAAGTGTGCATTATCTTTGTCGAGGCTTATCTGGGTTTTGGCATCCTCCCAACTGTGTGTGCTTCCTTATCTTTTGGAAGTCTGCCATTTATTATCCTGGCCTGTCATGTTAATTACTTCAGCATGGTTTGTGTTGTTGTTTTTTTAAATTTATCTGTACTTTGGGTTGGACTGCATTTCTTCCCTTTGTAGACTGTTTCTGGAAAAGTTTGATCTCCAGCTGAGGATAACTGGATATTGGGGGCCAAGTTGGAGCTATTAAAGGGACTTTACCTATTTCTGTGACTTTGTTGCTTTTGTGTCATGCCGTAGGTCATCACAGTGAGCTTCAGAGGAAGAAGGGTATAAAAGAAAGGGGTAAATCTCAAATCAGGGCCACTGTGATGACCCAGGATGGGATACAAAATAAACACAGTCACAGAAAACAGGTGAAGCCCCTTTTATTCCTTCACTTTGCTTCCAAGCTCCAAATATCCTTGACTGGAGACAAAAAACTCCCACACGAGCAGTTACAATAAGGAGGGGAAAAAATAACACAAACCAGGCAAGATAAGGGCTTGAAGATATCCACAGATATCAGAACACACACTGGGAAGGACGCCAAACTCAGAGAGGAACCATAAACTAGAGATATTTCCATGCTTTGTTTCCAGCGCTTGCCCATACGCATGTCTGTCCTCTTATCCAGTTGTCACAGCTGCAGCCCACAAAGAGGATCAAGGCCCTCTCCTCCCCAGTAGACCACATATCTCCTTTATCCTCTCCTCCCTGCATGCTCTAGGATGGAGAGGGGATGGGCCTGGGTTCTCCTCTGACTGCCCAGCCAGCCTCTGCCCTTCCCCAGTTTCCTCCACAACCTCCGGAGCCACACTTCCACTCCCTGTCGGATGTTCCTCCTCTCCCTCAGAGTCAGTCTCCACCAGGGGCATGACAGCCACTGATAATAGCTATCGTTTCTGGAGTTGGCTACTGTCTCTGGACCTCATAGCAATGGGTTATTGATATAAGTTGTGTTATAATGGCTTTTCCTGTTCCAAATTGCTCGTGAAATAAAACTCTGATCTCAAAGTAAAGAGCTATTGCCTATGGTTTGTCTGTGTATTTCCTTTACTGAATCATTTTTATAACGCAACTGTTCATTTAGTGACCGTTCTAAGTTACAACGGCCCTGGAAAAAGGGACTTGTGACCCGTTTCCCACAGTTACGACCGCTGCAGCATCCCGGCGGTCACACGATCGAAGCTGCTCGGCAACCAACTCCTATTTATGACGGCTACAGTACCCCAGGGTCAGGGTGATCCTCTTTTGCGACATTCAGGTCAGCAAAGTGGGAAGCCAGATTCACTAAGCCACCTCACTTAGTGATGGGCGGTCCAAAGGTCCCAATTATGGTTGCTTTCCTGGCATATTTCAAGAGCCAGCCAATGTCCAGACAACGCCGCCTCACCTGCCGTAACCCCAAACAGGTGCCCTCCTTACCTTCAGCTCCTCTTCGTTGAGGACTTCCAGAAAGCCATCGTCGTCTTCATCGTTCATGAAGGACGTCAAGGAGGAACGGCGGAGGTAGATCGGGCTCTCGGGATGGACGTTCTCCTTCTCAGGGCTGCAGAACTGAAGAGCAAGGATCCGTAAGGATGGCACCCTGGGCTTTCGTTGTCTATTTCCCAGGCAATCACGTTGTCCTGAGAATGGCTCAGCTGGAGCTACCCAATGGGGTGCCCGCCATCTCCCGCTGGCTGCGAAATCAAGGTGATTCAGACGGGAGCTGCGGCCAAGCCACGTTCCAGGGAGTCCCAAAGGTGCTTTTTTTCCCCCAAAAGGCAACGGGACTTCCTTTGTTTTTGCTTGAAGAGGTTTCGCTTCTTATCCCAGAAGCTTCTTCCGTTCTGACTGAATGGACCATTCGGACAGAACTGAAGAAGCTTTTGGGATGAGAAGCGAAATGTCTTCCAAGGTTAAAAAAAAAAGGGAAGTCCCGTTGCCTTTTGAAAAAACACCTTTGGGACAACCGTGACCTGGATGACGGGAGGGTCTCGGTAGATCAGTGGTCGCCAACCAGTGGGCCAGGGACCACTGGTGGTCCACGAGAAAATTTTGGTGGTCCACAGAGAAATGTCACCCCCCAAAGCAATTAATTGTGGGAACACAAGGCTGCGCCACACACATGGCCTGGGGGAATACAAGGCATGCGTCACTTGCATTGCGAACAACACGAGGTAGTGAGAGGAGGGGGGAAAGGGCGGAGGGGGGGAACTTGCCCCATTCACCCCACGTGCCTCGCCTGGCCACCGGGCTGCTTCTTTCTGCTTCTGCTTTTGGCTGCACGGAAGGAAAGCAGCAGAAGTCTTTCTTTCTCTCCCCTAAACTCCGCCAGAAATGAGTCTTTGGGACCCTGCAAGGCCTCCTGCTCCAAGAGGCTGTGCTGACGTGACAAGACTCACAAAGACTCATTTCTGGCAGAGTTTGGGAGAGAGAAAGAAAGACTTTTGCTGCTTCTGCTGCTTTCCTTGCATGAAGCCAAAAGTCTCTCTCTCTCTCTCTCTCCCCGCGCCCCGAGAACGGAGCTGGAGACGGTATCCAGCGATCCCAAATAAAGAATGATCAAACAATAGGAAAAACAGGGTGGGGGATTTTCCTGAAGAACCGGCCAATCCCACCTCTGACTGGCCCCGCCAACCCCATCTCTTCTCTGTCTCCCATTGAGTCCCAGCTGATCGTCTGGGTCTCCTTTGGTTGCCCTGCCCAGGAGAACGGAGCTGGAAAGCAGGTTAGTGGGGTGGAGAGGGAAGGGGGATTTTGCAGTATATCCTTCCCCTGCCACATTGCCCACCAAGCCACGCCTGCACCCAAAACCCACTTCATCTTTGAAGCCTGCACTTACCATCAGCTGCGGGGCAGAATTTGGTCTCTGGGCGAAGGGAGCCCTCTCTCCCTGCCCCCC